GTCTTGGGATGCTGATGGGCCCATGAGATGTTTGGGGTCCCACCACCGACCTTCTCCTTGAGCTGTGGGGCTGGAGATGAGTCATGGGATGTTGATGGGTCCATGAGATGGTTGGGTTCCAACCAATGACCTTCTGCTTGACCCCACCACCGACCTTCTCCTTGAACTGTGGGGCTGGAGATGGGTCATGGGATGTTGAGGAATCCATGAGATGGTTGGGTTCCAACCAAAGACCTTCTGCCAGACCCCACCACCGACCTTCTCCTGGACCCACGGAGGTGGGGTTGGGCGGCGAGATGTTGGGGGGTCCATGAGATGTTTGGGGTCCCACCACCGACCTTCTCCTTGAGCTGTGGGGCTGGAAATGGGTCATGGGATGTTGACGAATCCATGAGATGGTTGGGTTCCAACCAAAGACCTTCTGCCAGACCCCACCACTGACCTTCTACGTGAGCTGTGGGGCTGGAGATGGGTCCCGGGATGTTGACGGGTCCATGAGATGTTTGGGGTCCCACCACCGACCTTCTGCTGGACCCACAGAGATGGGTCCTGGGATGTTGATGGGTCCATAAGGTCTTTGGGGTCCCACCACTGACCTTCTGCTGGACCCACAGAGATGGGTCCCGGGATGTTGATGGGTCCATGAGATGGTTGGGGTCCCACCACCGACCTTCTCCTTGAGCTGTGGGGCTGGAAGTGGGTCCCAGGATGTTGACGAATCCATGAGATGGTTGGGGTCCCACCACTGACCTTCTGCTGGACCCACAGAGATGGGTCCTGGGATGTTGATGGGTCCATGAGGTGTTATGGTTCCAACCAAAGACCTTCTGCTGGACCCCACCAATGACCTTCTCCTTGAGCTGTGGGGCTGGAGATGGGTCCTGGGATGTTGATGGGTCCATGAGATGGTTGGGGTCCCACCAAGGACCTTCTCCTTGAGCTGTGGGGCTGGAGATGGGTCCTGGGATGTTGACGAATCCATGAGATGGTTGGGTTCCAACCAAAGACCTTCTGCTGGACCCCACCACCGACCTTCTCCTGGACCCACGGAGGTGGAGTTGGGTCGTGAGATGTTGGGGGGTCCCATCCCACGTGTGACCCCCCACCCCACCCATGGTCTTCTTCTCCCCACAGGGTGACTCGGGGGGCCCGTTGGTCTGCGATGGGGTGCTGCAGGGCGTGGTCTCCTGGGGCATGGCCGTCGGCGGCCGCCGGGGACAACCCGGGTTCCAACCAAAGACCTTCTGCCAGACCCCACCACCGACCTTCTCCTGGACCCACGGAGGTGGGGTTGGGTCGCCAGATGTTGGGGGGTCCATGAGATGGTTGGGGTCCCACCACCGACCTTCTCCTTGAGCTGTGGGGCTGGAAATGGGTCCTGGGATGTTGACGAGTCCATGAGATGGTTGGGTTCCAACCAAAGACCTTCTGCCAGACCCCACCACCGACCTTCTCCTGGACCCACGGAGGTGGAGTTGGGTCGTGAGATGTTGGGGGGTCCCATCCCACGTGTGACCCCCCACCCCACCCATGGTCTTCTTCTCCCCACAGGGTGACTCGGGGGGCCCCCTGGTCTGCGATGGGGTGCTGCAGGGCGTGGTCTCCTGGGGCATGGCCGTCTGCGGCCGCCGGGGACAACCCGGGGTCTACTCCAACGTCTGTCGGGCCACGCCCTGGATCCGCCGATACGTCGGGGGGCAGTGACCCCCACATCCCGCCCCACAGCGACCCCCAAAAAACCAACCCCCTTGGGGGGGCGGGGCTTCCCAGAATGCCCCGGGGGGCGAAATTTGGGGGGAAAAATAAAGGAAAAAAGAGCGAAAACGAAGAGGTGATTTGTTTGGGAGGGGAACTGGGGGGAACTGGGGGGAACTGGGGGGAACTGGGAAATAGAGGGGCTACTGGGGGTCTGGGTGCTTCTCCCAGTGCCCGTACTGGGGATACTGGGAGAACTGGGACTATTGACCCAAAAT